GTAGGGGTTGCAGTGTACTATCTTTTTTTTTTTTTTTTTTTTTTAAGATTTTGTTTCTTTATTTCTTTGTCAGAGAGAGAGAGAGAGAGAGGGAGAGCGAGCACACGCAGACAGAACGGCAGGCAGAGGCAGAGGGAGAAGCAGGCTCCCCGATGAGCAAGGAGCCCGATGCGGGACTCGATCCCAGTACGCTGGGATCATGACCTGAGCCGAAGGCAGCTGCTTAACCAACTGAGCCACCCAGGTGTCCCTGCAGTGTACTATCTTTCTGTTTTGAGCCCTGTCATTGATAATTCTTTCCTGTTGAGATTCTTCTGTTGGGGTCTGTGATTGACAATTCTTCCTGTGCTTGACTGAGTTTTACTGGCTCCCCCTTATAGCGTCCCCTGCTTTCTTCCCACTGCACATTAATGACATCTCCCCTTATTAAGTTTTTTAAAGATTATTTATTTGACACAAAGAGATCACAAGTAGGCAGAGAGGCAGGCAGAGAGAGAGGGGGAAGCAGGCTCCCTGCTGAGCAGAGAGCCCGATGCGGGTGATGCGGGTCTCGATCCCAGGACCCTGAGATCATGACCCGAGCTGAAGGCAGAGGCTTAACCCACGGAGCCACCCAGGTGCCCCATCCCTTTATTAATTCTAACAGGTCCCTGGGGCTCCTGGGTGGCTCCGTCGGTTGAGCATCTGACTCTTGGTTTCGGCTTAGGTCATGATCATCTCAGGGTCATGGGATTGAGCCCTGCGTGGGGTTCTGTGCTTGGTGGAATCTGCTTGTCCCTCTCCCTTCCCCACTGCTCCTCCCCTGCTCTTTGAGCTTGTTCTGTCAAAGAAATAAAATCTTGAAGATTTTTAAGAGGTACTTAGTACAGTGAACACTAGAGAACACTAGAGAAGTACGTAAAAAGATTTTTTTTTTTTTTTTGGTAAAAAATTGAGGTCTTATGCTAGGGAATATAGAGTTTCAAAGATTATCAAGGAAGAAACCCCAACTAAGTACAAAATTGCTTTTCCCATGTATTCTAAAATACCATCTTCCAAAATATTCAGTGCAGATGAAGAGCCGATGTTGAAGGGCAAGAAGGTGCGGTGTGTGATCCTGCCCAGGGGCTGGCTGGGGCCTCTTAGATGCTCCTTAAGAATGAACGTGTCATAGAACAGGTTCTAGGATTGGCCACAATGAGTGAGAAGTAGACTCCATTCATGCGGAGTGCCTCCTGGTAGGTTCGTTATTGCTCTGTTTTTATTTACCATCTGTTTTTCTCTAGCTAGGTCTTGACTCTGCTAACCGGGATCCCCCTGTGGTTTCGAGCTTGGACCTCAGCAGCACGAGGAAATGTAGCTCAGCGGCTTGTAACGGAAAGCATATGGACAGGTCCACGGCGCGGCATTTAGGTGCGTCTGAAACCCAGTCTCTCTCGTTCTGCATTTCACCATGCGGTTGTGCTGACGGCCCTTTCGTGTTAGAATTCATCTGTGCTTGACCTTGTCTTTGCACATGTCCCCAACAGTCTAAATGCAATCGTGGGAATAATTAATCGTTCTATTAATGCTAATGATAAGGTAATAGACTGCTTTAGGCCAAATTCTTTGTAAGCAGATGAAAGTAGAAAACAGGCAAAGTCTTGCTACTAACGGGTAGTGATAAGGTAGGAAGTAAATATTTTCATTTTCCTTTATATGCTTTTGACTTTTTTTATCATTAAAATTTGAGTACTTATCGCCAGTTGAGGCTCCTTGTCTGGGTCCCAGGTCTGAACCCTGGGGGTAAAGACTGAAGCCCTCTCCTTTTTCTAGCATTCCACAATTTAAGTAGTGATATTATTACATTACTTCCCCCCTATCCCAAAGCTCGATAGGCATTTTGGTTATTTTAAATGTTTTGCTAATACAAACAATACTGCAATGAAATTTCTTGTACATATTTTAGGGAGAATACCTGTAAGTAAGTTTCTAGCAGTAGAATTGTTGGGTACAGTGCTTAAGATTTTTTAGTATTTTAAATTTTGACAAATTGTCCTATAGGGACACTGCAAAAATTAACAGTCCTATTAATAAATGTTCTCTCAAACAGGTTGTTTTGTCAAAACTAACTTATTCAGTATGGTAGGTATAGAATGTTATGTCGGTGGTACTTTTACTTATTTACTTCTAACTTACAAACTAAAATTCACAATTATAAGTGCTTTCACAAATGCTAAAAAGGGGATCATTAAAATTTTTTTTCATTTTCTAATAGAAAGTCTATACTTACTATTTAAAAAAAAAACAAACAAAAAACAAACATGGCAATTCCAAGAATTTAGGAGGAAGATCTTTGATGATCCTACCACCTAATGACACCACAGTGAGCATTTGTGGATTTGACTTTTTTTCTGTGTGCAGTTTTTTGTTTTTTTTTTTCCTTAAGCCAGTATCAAATTATATGTAATCCATTCTTAGAAGTAATATTTATTAACCACGAGGGAGGTGAGGGGAAGACTGTTCTGCTGGGGGAGTATCTGTAAAATACATGGTCTCTCAGCTCTCAGAGTTTCAGCTACAGTCTTTATATTTCAGTTCACACCTCTCTTTCTCTGCTCTGTGCACAGAACTTCTCTCAGATCTCTGGTCTTCGATGGGTGCTTGCCGGGTGTACATACCACCCCGAGCTCAAATTCAGCATGTCCAGACTTTGTTCATTACTTGCCTTGTCAAACCCGTTTCCTTATTTAAAGGAGACACTCTTGTTCTTTCTTTAGAGGTCCTCTTTGACACTAGATCTTTTATTTTTTCTCGTTCAGCTCACTCGCTCTATCCCTTTTTCTCACTGTCCGATCCACTGTCCCAGTGGCCAGAATCCTTGTACTTGGATTAACACAGTAGCTTCTTGACCTTCCATCTTGAGATTTTTTAGCAGTGGACTCTTTCTGTTCTCCTTACCTGCCCAGAAGCTCATGTTTCGTAAAGCTGTGTTGCATTTACTTGGACTCCTTTGACCCTGCAGGGGGTTTTCGTCCTCTATCCCCCCCCCCCCCCCCCCATTGTATGCTGTGGCTAAGTTGTTCTCATGGCCTAGAGGCTGCCAGACTTCAGCCTACCTTGGTCTCCATGGCGGCCCACCGCTCAGGAGACTCTGTGCTCCGAAGTTGACCCCCCCACCCCCAAGTCCCACTTCCCCAAATTCATTTCTCTGGCCCTTTTGGGTTCCTTTCTCCGAGTGCTCATGCCCAGTTTGATAATTATCACGTCTCTATAATTCACTCACTGTTCCAGTCACTGAGATGGCAGATGGCCTCACACGTAATCCATTTCCATCAGTGTGGAGACTCGTGGCAGTTTAGGAAACTAGCCAAACGGTTGGTTTATTCCTCCCCCCGCCTCCTCCCCACCCCATACAGATCCTAAATATTAAGTTTGCAAAGCTGAGAATTGAGAAGGCCTGCCAGTTAGTGTGTTACCCGGAGCGTGCAGGTGATAGTTTGAGGTCCAGGCAGTCATCGCTGAGAGTACCAGCTCCGCCCGGTGCGGCAGCCCACCCACCAGGTGCCCGGGTCTGACTGCAGGCACATTTTAGAAGCTGATCCGTACACGTGGACGGACTTGGATAGAGACTGGTTTAAAGACTTGGAGCTGCGAGGAAGTGTGTTTTATTGGTGGCTGATTTTGAGAGGCTGCGTCTGGTACTTCTGGAGTCTTTGGTTTATAGACTGTGTGCTGTTGACGTCAGTGTCCCACTTTCTCGTAACTAAACATGTTATATAAAATGCTCATTGTTGATAGTTTGATCGGTTGCAACAAGAGAATTAAATATTTACTGGAAAAAATGGGTACTTTCAAAAACCTGTGTAAACACTGGTGAAGATCAGGGAGCTTGCATAAGAAGGGAAGGACGATGGTTACTATGGAACAGTTACTATGAAGGGACTCCAAGCACATTAGGTGAGCACTGTCCTTTTCGGTGGGATGGGTTATAAAATCAGTGTGTTAGTGTTGGATTAAGACCAGCTGTTGATAAATTGCCTAAGTCCTTGGCTGACTTTGGTATGGAAAAATCTCATCAATAAATATGTCCCAGTCCTTCTAATGATTATTATTATTATTTTTTTTAAACAAAAATGCAGGTATTATTCTGTTTTAGCTTTGCCATACGAAACCAGAACTTGCAGTTCAGTACTTACAATGCCCCTCTGGCTCTGAGACCCTTGGATGGACGCTGTTAGTTTTATTTAGGTTTTGTGCTGGTTCTGAGCTTCCAGCGCGGAGCCCCTGGATCCCCTTAGGACCTTCAGCTCGTGCTCGCTGTCAGCCCGTGGATTTCTGCTTTGGATTTTTCCACATCTGGCTCCCTCCCACCTTCCAGGGAAGGGAAATTAGGTTATGGCAGCTGCTCCCCTCCATCAGGGAAAGCACATACCAGGAAAAGAGAGAAGTTAGGCAGAGTATACAACCATGGTAATCATGACCACACTCCACCGAAAGAGTCTGTTCCGTGCTTAGATTGTTACCCACACAGGGACATGTAACACAGGCCAGGCCGTGTCTCCTCCCCCATCCATCAGAACAGACCCAGTATTACTGGGCTACACCACCAGCTCTGCAGTCTGCACCCCAGCGCCCTCATTTCTTTGAAATAAAGAATTTGACCCAGAAAAATCTGAAGAAGTACACTACTGTTTTTAGATAAAATCAGCTTTTAGGGATGCCTGGGTGGCTCAGTTTATTACGCAGCTGCCTTCAGCTCAGGTCATGATCTCAGGACCCTGAGATTGATTGGGTCCCGCAGAAGGAGTCTGCTTCTCCTCCCTCTGCCTGCTCCCTGCCCCAACCCCCCCTCCCCGACTTCTGCTCTCTCTCTTGCTCACTCTCTTTCTCTCAAAACAAAACAAAACAAAAAACAACTCACAAAAGCCTTTAGAAGTAGTTAGAATATAGGGCTATGAGGAAATAGAGGAAAATCAGGAGTCCCTGAGCACAGTAAGTTTGCAGAACATTGAGAACGCCTCCCTTCTGACCACACTTTGGTCTCTTTACTCAGCTTCTGTCAGCAAGTCCTTGGAAATGAGAGGCTGAGCATCTTGTTACAGGGATTGGAGTGCTGTACTTTCTCCTTCTGGTTTGTCCTGCCTTTGTATTTACTTTATATTGTCCATAGGCAATGACTTCAGGTTTAAAAATTAAAATAGGGGCACCTGGCTGGCTCAGTCTGTAGAGCCTGTGATTCTTGATCTTGGGGTCGTGAGTTCCAGTCCCACATTGGATGTGGAGATGACTTTAAAGAAATCTTTAAAATGATGGGGCGACTGGGTGGCTCAGTGGGTTAAGTAAGCCTCTGCCTTCGGCTCAGGTCATGATCTCAGGGTCCTGAGATCGAGCCCCGCATCAGGCCCTGAGATCGAGCCCCGCATCGGGCTCTCTGCTTGGCAGGGAGCCTGCTTCCTCCTCTCTCTCTGCCTGCCTCTCTGCCTACTTGTGATCTCTCTCTCTCTCTCTCTCTGTCCAATAAATAAATAAAATCTTAAAAAAAAATCTTTAAAATGATACATATACTGTAGAAAAATAGGAGCAAAAAGTCATAATCCTGTCATCTGGAGTTAATCAGAAAATCACAAAACACTTGGGCATTTCCCCTTCATTTTGTGTGTGTATGTACACTCTGTAATGGAGATATCATGTATGTTTCGTAAACTTCCTTTTCCTCCCCTCAGGGATACACTCAGCACATTTCCTTCCATGTCAGTGAGTACTTCTGTTACCAGTTTTTAAAGATTTTTTTTTTTTTTAAATTTATTTGACAGATCACAAGTAGGCAGAGAGGCAGGCAGAGAGAGAGAGAGAGGAGGAGGAGGCAGGCTCCCTGCTGAGCAGAGAGTCCAAATGCGGGACTCGATCCCAGGACCCTGGGATCATGACCTGAGCCGAAGGCAGAGGCTTTAACCACTGAGCCACCCAGGCGCCCCTGTTACCAGTTTTTAAATCCCCACAGTGTTCTGAGAATGTATCTACAGATTTTTTTTTTTTTTTATAGAGACTATGTGAGAGCAGGGGGAGAGGGGTGGAGGGTAGCAGAGAATTTTTAAAAAAAGATTTACTTATTTAAGAGAGAGTGAGCGTGTGCAGGAGAGCATGAGTGGAGAGGAGGGCCAGAGGGAGAAACAGATTACCTGCTGAGCAAGGGAGCTGGGTGAGGGGCTCAATCCCAGGATCCTGGGATCATGACCTGAGCCGAAGGCAGATTTTTAACTGACTGAGCCACCCAGGTGCCCTGGGGAGAGACGATCTTAAGCAGGCTCCATGCCTAGTGTGGAGCCTGATAAGGGGCTCGATCTCATGGCCCTGAGATCATGACCTGAGCTGAAATCAGGAGTCAGACACTTAACTGACTGAGCCACCCAGATGCCCCAGAATGTATCACA